GTGCCATGTGGAAAAAAACCATTGTGTGCAAATCCATCCTCCTGTGAATATGCTGCACGGGCTATCCTTTTGAAAAGTTACAGCGCCACGGATTCAGTTTGAAAGGTTGGACTTCGATTGTCCTTTTATATCTTTGCGCATCCGCTGATCCCGCGGACTAGGAAGTCAAGTGTGATTTTCATTCACACACTACTAAGAGGAATGGCTACGGAGAAGATGCCATGAAACGCAGGAAGTCACCAGCACGCACACACATACACACATATATCTATATATGTATACATTTAGCTATGTTCATGGGCATGGAACCCGTTCGTCTTTCCATATGCCTTCTTCTATCAAGGGTTTCCCTTATGTTCAACACCCGCCACCATCTATATGCTGTTAACAATCGTTCGTTGCATTTTTCTTGGCAATTTCTTCTGCAGTCAGAAATAGCATTGCAACCACGTCCAATCCAATTCCCCGCCTCCTCTTCCTATTCCCATCCTCACCCCTGGTATCTTTGCATGCCTGTGCTGGGCTGAAGGGGGGGAGGAGTGGCGGAAAAGAAGGAGGAGGAGACCGGAATGGGTAGGGAGAGGAGAAGGAGGGAACGAAGAGTGATGTTGAAGAGCAGCGGTAGACAGTGGAACAAAAACACAGGAGAAGGATGATGGACAGCGAAGAGAGAAGATCGAGAAGCGATGAAAGTGAGGTGGGAAGTAGAGGCGGATAGGGTATAGGCAGAAGAGAAGAATGACATTGAGGATGAACGTGGGGCCAGAAGAAGGTATTGAAGAGGAAGGTGGGGCGAGAGGGGTGGTTACCAGGATGGAGCAGGGAGAGGACGAGCGATGAGGAAAAACACGATATACCTCAAGGGGGGCCTCGCTTTCATCGTTTCTCGATCTGCTCTCTTTGCTGTCCCTCCTTCTTCTCCTTTGTTTCCTTCTTCCTCTCTCTGTCTACGACTGCTTTTCAATATCATTCGCCTCTTCGGTCCCTCCTTCTCCTCTCCCTCCCCTTATCTGTCCCCCCTCCTTCTCTTCCACCTCAATTCCCCCTCCCCTTCAATCCGCCATGGGCATGGAAATCTGGCGGGGGAAGGATGAGCATGAGAAGAGGAAGTGGGGAATTGGACTGGACGTGGTTGCCGTTCTAGTTCTGACTGCAAAGCAGTCTTTTGAGCAGAAGAATGCAACGAATGATTGTCACAGTATATAGGTGGTTGCGGGAGTTGAACACAAGGGGACCCCATGAAAGACGGACTCGTATGAAAAGACGAATGTGTTTCACGCCCATGTCCTTTTACATGTATGCACATACACATGTATATATGTGTATACACATATAGTGCTGTCATTTTGCTTTCACGCAATGTCTGGGGAGTGGTTTGCACACAATGTTTTTTTCCACGTTTCGTAGCACAGAAAGCACCCCTCATAGGATTCTGAAATTTAACGCTAAGAAACACAGGTGGTATCATTTTTGCACACAACACAGAACCGCACCCCTCAGGATTCAACAATTAGTTTTTGAAGGTTCTAGAATACAGAGTACACCCCTCACAGTATTCGTGGGTGTCTGGGCCAAAACCATTTTTTTGAATGTGTTCGAACACGGAACGCAGACAAGGCTCGCAGGAATATTTGAAACCATTGTTTTTTTGTATCTGACGCTCACGAAACTTGTGAGGGGTGCGCGCTGGGAGCCCAGCAGCAATGAACACAGCATGTTTTCGAAACCTGGGTCGCAGAATCCTGTCATTTCATTGTGATCGTTTCCGAGAACATTGTGGTTTCATTTGGTTCGTTGTGTTCTTTTGTGGCCGCAGACGAACTTGCGCGGATCTGGGCCGTCGGCGGCGGCGGTGCAAATTTCGCCTGGGCCCAAAAGACCAACAAACACAACGAACCCAATGACATCACCAGGTTTTCGCAAACCTACGAAAACAGACACAACGAATATAATGATCTCATCGGGGTCCGTGACATGCCGCAAGAAAACAATGTGTTTTCAGTGTTTGTTTGTCTTTGCAGCCCCAGACGGGATTGCGCGGAATTGGGCCGTCGGCGGCGGCGCTGCAAGTTTTCGCTGGGGCCGAAAAACAAACAATCAAATACACCGAACTCAATGAATTCACAGAGTTGCCGGAAGCCTATGACAAATTACAAAAACAGTTCATATGGTTCCGTGACATGTGATGCGAATGTTTGTGTTGTCTTTTTGGCCCCAGACGAGACTGCGCGGATTTTGGCCGTTGCACCTGTCGCGTGGGCCCCAGAAAGACGAACACCACAACCAACTCAATGAAACCACATGGCTTCTGCGAGCCTATGACACACACCGCAACGAACACAGTGAAATCGCATGGTTCCGTGGCATGCGTTGCGTCAACGTTGAGCTGTCAATGCTTTTGGTGTTCCCAGAACGCACCCCGCACAGGCTTCGTGGGTGTCATATACAAAAAGACACTGGCTTTTACATATGATGGAACAAAAACAAAGTAGCACCCTCACAAGGCTCGTGAGGGTCGACTTCTTCCCCAAAGAAGGATTCGAATTGGTGGCGCCCCCCTGGACGGAGGTCGCAGGTGTCACGTTTCAGAAACACTTTGAAACCATTTTTTTTGACACCTACGAGCCCTGTGAGGGATGCGCTCTGTGTTCCAAGACCTTTACAAACAACCATCGTGCTTGTAACCCTAACGCCTACGCGCCCTGTGGAGGACGAGTTCTGTTTTGTTTTTTTGGTTGTCGGGAAGCATTGAGTTTTAGCCCTGGCATCTACGAACTTACGAACCCTGCTCTGAAACCTGTAACCACCATTATGTGTTTAGCCTGGGTAGCTACGAACCCTCTGAGACGGTGCGTTTTTTGTTTTGAAACCTTTATGCGCAATTTTGTTCTTACCCAGAGCGTGCCCTGGTAGGGTGCGTTGTATCCCAATACAACGGGGGTCTTCGCATTCTGCGGCTTGGCCAATGCTTGTTCACTTCCCATTTGATTTTCATGTCGGCTGGAACTCTCTGAATCTGAAATCTCTTCCATGCCTACTGGATCCCTATTGAATTCCATTTTGATCCAATGAGCAAGGGGCCTGCTCCGTTCTCATTGAACTCCTATTCGAGTCCGATTCAAATCGAACGGTAATGGTCAAATGTTGCGTCTGCCCCATCCCGGTTGTATGCGGTCGAGCGCTCGGGGGCTGGGCAGGGTAGTCATGAGATGTAGGTCTTTGTTGGGGGGGTGTACCATATTCCTATTCTGTTTATTTTTTCATTACCCGGACCCCCCTCCCTCCCTAAACCGGACCCCCCCGCCAGGGACGCCCCAGACGCCGTTTCGGACGTCTCGGCGGCTCCCTGGACGCCCTTGGAAAAGGTCCACTGGCCCTCCGGGGCCTCCCAGCGCGCCTTGCCGGGCCTTGCGAGCAGACTCAAGGCGATCAGAGGCTTCATCGGAGAGGCGCAAGAGAGACCCAACACAACACAAGAGCGCTCCAAGAGGAACCTCGGCGGTCTGAAGACGGCCCGAGAGGCCCCCAAGACGCCCCAAGAGGCCGTTAAGAGAGCCCCGGAGAAGCAAGTATCGTCCCTTTCCCTTTAGGACAATGTTGGCATCCGCTTCTTGGGTCTTCGCAGCGTCCGAGACGGCCCCCCCGATATCGCCCCCAGACGGCCCAGGAGGCCCCCCAGAGGGGCCTGAGGACGGCCCGATGGGGCCCCAAGATTGCCCCAGAGAGCCCCGAGACTGCCCACAAGAAGCCCAAGATGCCCTCAGAAGGCTCCCAAGAGAGACCCACGAAAGCCATGGGGGACCCCCAAGAAGGCCATCGAAGGCCCCCAAGAGGGCCCTAGATGGCTTCGGCAGACCCCTGGAGGGCCCCAGCTCCTCAAAACGGCCCAGGAAGGCCCCAGTCCCCAGGACGGCCTAAGAGGGCCTCGGGACGGCCCAGGAGGCCCCCTGGACGGGCCCAGACGGCGTTCTCTCACGAAGTACATCGAGCTGGCCCGACGATCTTGGTTCCACGTTTGATGCTCGAGGTTTAGATTCCCCGATCGAGAGAGACAGGCAATGGATCTAGATTCGAAGGTCGACGATCGAAGATTTCCTGAGGGCCTGGAGCCTTCCAGACATTCGGGAAGCGACCAAAAAACGACTTGTTCGGAGCTACTGCGACTTCTTCGGCGTGTCATGGGAACGTTCCTTACTTCCTCAAAGGACCTTCGTGCGCGAAAAAAACATCAACCCTTCCCCGCTCCTGCGCACAAGCGTGCAAGCGCATCAGGCGAACGCGATGACAGCAGGCACCAGGGATGTAGGAAAAATGAGCGGGTCGCCCGTCCAGACCTCGAGGCCACCCCTGGTGAAGCAAGCGATGATTTCTTGTTTTGCTGGTGAGCTTCCAGAACAAGGCGCATGGCGCAAAGCGCCAGTGCAGTCTTGTATACATATACACACGTACATGCATACAGATGTGTGTAATCATATCTATACACAGCAGCTCTTGTATTGGAGGGGTTTCGATGTGCGCGCGTGGAGGCGCCCCGGTGGCCCCGCATGGTATCCTTTGAGAGCGCCGGCAGGTGCGCGATGATTGTTGTTTGTGTTCGTCGTACTCGCAGATTGACCCGTCTCCCTGTGCGGCTCGCTACATCCGCCCCCTTTTTCGGCCGCGTCCCCCTCCTGATCCCCCTCTTGCGTGGTGGCACAATTTGGCCGATCGGCACCCCCATTTAGGCTTTTCCGCTGGCGCAGGCGACCCCTGCCTCACCGCCGACGCAACATTGTGTTCGCGTGCGCCCCGGATGGTCCCAGCCGGCCGGATTGCCCAACGCGCATTTCAATGGTTACAGCGAGTGTGCGCGCGTAGAAATCTGGCACACTTCTCATTGAGCGTGCAATGGGCCGCCATATGTTGGTGGCAAGTTGTATGTTGATATGCTTCGAGCACAAATTGTGTTGGAATGGTTTCGACATGCGTTCGCGACAACGCGCGCATATGGCCCTCATGTGCCACATGATGTGCGGAGTGAAAGAACGCGCATGTGTGATTTCAACGCGTGCTCGCCGCATGTTCCGTAGCCATTTTGGCTCAAGCCATTTCGGCTCAAGGCCTAGTTCGAGATTTCCTTTGAGAACACAGACTCCACCGTGCATCAACGCGGGAGCCACATGTTGCATGAACCATTGCAGAGCGACTGCTGCGAGGTGTTCAGGATCCGCACGGACACGGAAGACCCGGTTTGGCGCATCGCGTTTTTCGTCGGTCGAGCAGTGCGTTTTTGGTGGATGCAGACGACGGACAGCCATTACTTCGCGTCGCCAGCAAGCCGAAGGCATTTTTGGAGATATTATTGGATTTCGATTATTTGTTGGTTGGCTTTTTGGTTCGGCTTGATCTTTGCAGGAGTGTTCAAACTTGACATTGCGGGGCAGGGGTTCTCGCTGTCGCTGGTGCTGTTGATGCTGCTGTCCTTGGCAATGACGGCATTGCCAACGACATCCGTGTGGTCAGATGTATTCATTACCACCACATTTAGTTCGTTGTTTTGGATGTTTAACGTATATCATCCTATTGATGGTGTGGTCACACAACTCCCCGTGTACGTCCTTGTGTGCTGGGCCGTTGGATTGCACAGTTCCTGTGTATTGCAGTTCTGCATTTCTGGAGCCATCTGCGTCCTTCATTGCGCTCCGAGCGTGGATAAGCTCATACTGGTTCAGGCGGTGGTGGCTTTGGTCCCAGTCTTCTTCCTTGAGTGGCTGGCTACGGCCCATTTCCGTAAAATGCAAAATCTCCTGAACGTTTCGACAGACGGGCAGTTGGTCATAAACAGGAGCACTGGCGTCGTTGTCAGCGTGACCGAACAGGTGCAAGAACTATTAGGCGGAAGCGCTCTTGGAACACAATTCAAGCACTTAGCTCATACCAGTGATCGTGCCAAAATCGATCGTGTGTTTAGCAGGAGTTGTGGGGAGCCCTCGGAGACTTTCTTGGCCACGCTTAACTGCATAGGCTCTTCAAACGGCCTGCCTACGCATGAGTTCGAGGCTCGCATCATACCTTACGAAGTCACTGGGCCTCTTTTGCACTTTTGCATTCAAGTCGTGGGAGAGGTGAGGTCGTGCGACTTTGGCACTCGCAGCTCCGAGCAGCCACCAATTGAGAACTCGAGCGCCGCTCCAGGCCGCGCCACTCAATGCAACGCTCAGCAGACACCAATGAACACTTCGATCGCCGCTTTGACCCAAATCGAACGCCACTCCAGGCAGGCATGTTATGCGGCACCAGTCGCGCACCAAGGGCATCAGGAATATGGTCAGCAATCGAGGTGTCATGGAGATGAAGAAGCACCGTCTGCTGAGCACCAGGGCCTCGGCTTGTCTATCGGACGGGAGAACGGCGAGTCGTCGGCTGCGCACCGAGAGCACAACTATGATGGTGGGACGTCCTCGAACACTGATGAGGAGGTGCGCATGGCGATGCACGAGTCGCCCGACGAGCTGGACCCGAGCGCTGGGGAGCACGGGACGGCAAAGCGCGGGTCGCCCGGCGAGGGGGCCGGCCCGTCGCGGGGGCCGACAGGGGCCGCTGCCGCAGCGGTGCCAGGCCCTGGCGGGGAGCGCGCTCCCGTGGGCCGGCCCCTGGAAGCCGGCAGGGAGTCCCAGGCAGGCTGGCCGCGAGGGGCCGCAGCGCCTGCGCCCGCCGTCCGGGCGCCCGCGAGGGCGCCGAGCCAGCTGCTGCCCGCCAGGGCCGCCAGGGCCGGGGGCGGCCGTGCGCCCCGCACGCCACGGGCGGGCGGCGTGGGCGCGGGCGAAGCGGGGCAGTTCGAGGTCCCCGTGGGCTCCTCTGCTCTGGGCGCACAGCGCTCGCAGCGCTCGCAGCGCTCGCGGGCACCGTTCTCGGTGGGCGCTGCCCCGGCCACGGCTGCCACGGAGGAGGGCTCCTCGGCACGGCCTCGGCCTCGCCAAGCAACCTGGGTGTCGATGTAGCCTGCTCCTCTCGGTTCTCATGTGAGGTGTCGCTGGCCGCTGGGGCCGCTGGTTCTGATCTGAGGGGATATGCGTACGGACACACCCGGCACGCTCCGCTTTGTCGCCCAGGCCACGTTTCACCGTACCAGCCCGTCAACCGTGCCTTGCATGAGACGGACCTCCCGTGTGCACCATGTGATTCGCCTCTTGTAAAAAAAAACGCGTGCTCGCCGCATGTTTTTATAGACAGGTATGGGAAGGGGTGTCGCTACCGGTTTCGATGGGATGCTTTGGTTTCCTGCATCCTACGTTCAGGTTCTTATTGTTAGTGTGATGCGTCCACTCCCTCCCTTCCTTTTTCCTTTCCGCCCTACTTCCCCTCATACCCAGGCGCTTTTCGCGCAGACCCAGGAGAGTTCCTCACTCACCCGACTCCCTCGTGCACTCATGCGTGTCTCAGCTTAGTCATGTTCAGGTCCATCCAGCTTCAGCTTAGTCTTATTCAGACGTGCCCGCACTCAGCCACTTAGATGTCCGATCACGCACACTCAGACCCACTCAATCAGAGACTCACTCATGCCCAGACTCACTCGTACTCAGACTCGCTCACACTCAGACAGAATTGACATGCTTACCCACTCATACGCAGACGCGCCAAGACGCACTCATACACAGAAGCTCAATGATCTTCGCAATGTAGCACGCGTGGCATTTGTTCATCCCAAGGAGGAGCCGCCAGAGGGTAGGACACTTGCCCGTTAGCAGCCATGTTGTCCGGACGTCTCGAGCGAGGCGTTTGGTTGGAGTCCCAAGAACATGAGGAGAAGGAGGAGAAGGAGGTGGAGGAGGGGAAGGATAATGATGATGATGGCGATGACGATGACGATGACGATGACGACGATGATGATGATGAGGCTGACGGAAATTATGATGATGATGATGATGATGATGATGATGATGATGATGATGATGATGATGATGATGATGATGATGATGATGATACTGACGATGATGACGGTGATGGTGATGGTGATGGTGACGACGATGACGATGACGATGACGATGACGATGATGATGATGATGATGATGATGATGATGGTGATGATGATGATGATGATGATGATGATGATAATACTGATGATGCTGATGATGATGATGCTGATGATGATGATGATGATGATGATGATGATGATGATGATACTGCTGATGCTGATAATGATGTGGAGGAGAGCGAGAGAGAGAGAGAGAGAGAGAGAGAGAGAGAGGAGGAGTCGGAGAAGAAGGAGGACAGGATGCGGAGAAGGACGAGGATGAGGAGGAGTAAGAGGAGAAAGTGAAGGAGAGGGAGGAGAGGCGGCAGAAAAGGAGGGGAGGAGGGGTGCCTTTTATCCCTCGCCCGCCCAGCTGCGCATGTGCCGAGGCCGCCTCCGACGCTTCCGCGGCGGAGTCTCCGCCAGCATCCGAGGCGTCGACGCCACCGCCGTCGCTGCAGGGTGCCAAGGCGGCGCCACCAGTGGAGGCGGCCTGCTCACCCTTGATCACGTTGTCCACCATCAGCATCATCATCATCATCGTCATCGTCGTCGTTGTCGTCATCATCATCACCATCACCATCACCATCACCATCATAATCTTCATGTCCACCATTATCATCATCGCCATACTCATACTCATACTCATACCCATATTCCATGCCAGACCCATACTCGTATTCATACACATACTAATACTCACACTCGTACTGGTACTCATACTCATAATTATCACCATTACCGTCACCACTATCATTATCACACCATCATTATCGTCATCATCGTCACCATCACCATCACCATCACCATCACCATCACCATCACCATCACCGTCATTATCATCGGCATCGTCATCGTGATCGTCATCGCCATTATCTGCATCTTCATCTTCGTCTCCACCTTCACCTTTTAATGTCCACCACGCCGAGCTCTTGGCGATGTTGTGGCGGGCCGGGTCGTCCCACGTCTGGACCCGCGTCGGCTCCGATTGGCGACGCATCGCCAGGTGGACTGGAGGCACCCACGGACCTTCCTTCGCCACGCTTGCCTTCGACAGCGCCGCACGCGCCACCACGGTCGACGTCGGTCGCAGGGGGGGCGGCGCAGAAGGCGCCTCGCGGGGCGCCCGCCACCGTGGGCATCGCGCACGATTGGTGCCTCTCGTCGCCGGCATCGGACAGGGTGCCTGTGTTGAACTACAGTCGGACCTAGGACAGAAAAACATCCTTCGAGCACATGAGACCCTCCATCGGCCCAAACTGAAGAGCATTGGAGGGTATCCGAGACCCTCCAGGCCCACCCTCCCCCAGGATGCACAAGAGCATCCAACAAACACGAAGAACATCAGGGCGCCCTCCCCGAGCCGTCTTGCGGATCCTGGGCTGCTCCTGGTCCCGTGCAGGTGCGCCTCTTTCTTCCCTGCCGTGGACGCCCTTTGTGCACTCAGCGCGTCCTCTGTCCACACCCGCCGGGGTGGAGCAACGCTCGTGGACATGTCGCGGGGGCTCCCGGGCCACCACCGTGTCAATGCTGAGCTACACTGTCAATGCCTCGCACTCCTGGGGCTTTGCTGTGTTCCTGCTCGTAAACATGTGTCACGTCTGCGGAGCTACGCTGTCAATGCCCCGCTTTCCTGTGGCGTTGCTGCGTTCCTGCTCGCAACGCACACCGCCAGAGGCGGCGGAGAGCTTGAGAGATCCACCTACCGTAAGAGCTCTTCAGCCGGCAGGGCTCGCAGCTAGGCGCGAGCTCGTCACCCCCCGCCGTTATATAAGGCGGCCTGGAGGCGCTGGGCCCGGCCGCGCAGGGCCCGTGCGCCACACGCCGGCGCCCTCTAGCTTGAAGTCGGGCCTGTCCAGGGATGCTCAAAAATACTCGAAAGTGGTCAGGGGGCGATTTTCTGAGCATTTGTTGACTTCGTTCGAGTATTTCCTTGGTATGTTCATTCTCCGTCCCAAATCCGCCTGTAGGGAGACACGCCCAACCTAAGGCCAGTGCGCCACGCGCCAGCGCCCTCTAGCTGCGATGTACGGGAGGACGGCCCCGCTGCAGCGCGCGCGGCGGAGGTTGTCAGAGGAGGAAGAGGTACCCATTACCTCTACCCTCCCCTCGAAATTCCCCTTTTTGGGCCTCCTGGGCCTCCGCCGTCGCCACCGTTGGATTCGCCTCGACATCCTGTTCAGAGCGCGCCCCAGGAGTGGTCAAGGGAGTAGCGGTGTCGGTACCTTTTGGGTTCCCCAGGTTGAGGCTCTGTGCGCGACGTTGCTGGACATGATGCGGTGCGGCACGGACCCGCGGACCTGGCACGCAGCGTGCACATTGCTGGCGAGGAGCGTCGCGAGAGGGCTGGATTGCGACATGCGTTTGTGCCCTCCGTGGGCGCCAGAGTCAGCCTTGCGGCGCGCGGCGGCGGTGCACGCTGTCATGGAGGCTCTCGTTGTGCAGCCTCTCGGATCACAACACCGCCTCCAGCGTACACGCCTACCTCGGCGGCTGTGGCATTCTGCCCGCTGGTCTGCAGCACGAGCGGGCCCAGGCATCAAGCTGCTCCATTTTTTTCGATGCGTGGGCCCCAGAGGTCTGGACCAGTTCCCCAGGGCCGGTTTTGTGTCCCGGGCCGTTTCTTGACTTTCCCGAGGCCCAGCGAGGGCCCCTGGAGGCTGAAAAAGGCCGAAAACCTGCCGCTCCAAGTTTTTGTCCGAGCGTCGGATCTCTGGGCAGCACGCGCGGGTGGCGTTTTGGGCACGCCACGTTTCGACTGAGGCCGACGTCGTTGCCGCCGCCGCCCGCCTCGGACGCCCAGCCGCCACTCTCCACCTCGACATCCACGCGCGGCCGGGATGAATCGCGATCACGGCGGAGAACCAGCTCGAGTACGAGGCTGGCCCCTGGGCGGCTGAGCTCCCATGGCGCGGCTTTCGACTTCTACGCTAATGCCGACGACGTCCACGAGGCCATGTGCCGCCCCTGCAGGCGAACCGGGATGACGAGGGCATCTGGGCTGGTCGGCGCCGTCCCGCCGCGCGGTCGTACCGCGGCCCCGCGGCCCTCGCGGCCGCCCGCCCTCGCGGCCCACCTGCTCGCGGCGCGCCAGGCGCGGCTGCTGTCCAGCGGTGGAGTTGGCGCCAGCGCCCTTGGGAACGGATTTGCGCGGCAGGGCGAGATGGCGCTCCACGGCGCGCCCTTCGTGGTCATGTTCCAGCGCTGTGTCTCCTGCTGGGCTTGCTGACGTTCGCGTCCACGTGCGCCTCCCAGTGCTCCGGCCACGCATGCGGCGGCGGTGAGGAGCAACGGGCCCTTGGACGTCGCGGGGCTCCACGCTCTGCAATGAGCGGTCGGGCCGGGGCCGCGCTGCATCTGGCTGCTTAGCGAGGTCGCGCGGGCTTTTGCGGAATGGATATCCGCCCATGGCGGGCTCGCAGACGTGGAGCGCTGCGTGCCAGAGCTGTGCCGGGAGACTGCTGGCGGCGAGATCACCGAGGCACAGCTCGACCTCGTGGTGAACTGGCCATGCCTGCCCACGCCGACGCGGGTGGACGTCACCGTGCGCTCGCCTGGCGAGTTCGGACCAGCTATGCGCGCCCCCAGCCATGCGGCCCTCGACGTGGAGCATCACAAGAAGGACTGGTACGGCGACGGAGTCGTCGCCTTCGTGGTCGAGGCCGAAGACCACGCTGGCCCTGCTGCGGAGCGCTTCGTGGCGGACGTCACCACCGCCTCGCGGCGCACCGCTTTCCTCCCTTCGGCCTGAACGGCGCCACGGCGAAGACCAAGGTGGTCCCAGGGCAATGCATCCCGAGAGGCGCCAAGAAACCCGAAGACGGCTTGGGAGCGGACCCAAAAGAGTTGTCAAGAGGCGCAAAGAGATGCTCTAGACAACCTGCGTCATGAAACAAGGCGTTGCTTCTCAGTGGCTATATTGCACAGGCGTGCAGAGCACATCCTCCTCCTTATCATCAGCATGTATCACACACGTAAATGCATACACGTATCTATGTATGTATGTATGTATGTATGTATGTATGTATGTATGTATGTATGTATGTATGTATGTATGTATGTGTGTGTGTGTACGCATGCATGCAGGAACGCATGCATGTATGTATGTATGTATGTATGAATGTATGATAGAGCGCGCTCGTGGGGCCCGATCGACTAAATGGGGGGCCCCAGCTTGAAG